ATGAGCCACTATGTTGTGTCTAAAAAGTACATCAAAAACCAATGACTAAGGCAATACATCTTTCCTTTTCATAATAATTATATCGTTGGTTGAGAGTTTATTTCATCATTTATTTATTCATTTACATACATTCTGTGATTTCAATTTTACAGTGTATCCACAAGATCCTGTTCACAGTCCTATCACAGCCAAAATATTCATTACATTTGTTCCTTGCCAGCCAATGCATCACATCTGAAATATTCCAGTGGATGGACATTAAACTTAAAATATTACAAATATTAACAGTACAGCCAGAAACTGAATGTGATATTTTGTTTTCCATGTTATGCTTTCAATGACCAAAGTGGTTATCCAAACTATTCAGTTAGAGAACTTGGGTTTACTTCATGGAACCATGAAAATTGTATGTTGTAAAAAGTATCAGAAAAAATGTGTGCGTGTGTATATTACATACATCACCTGACTTCCAAGTGCAAATGGACTTTTGCACCTGAAACTTCAGTATTAACCTTAAGGGAAGAATATGGTGTTATCAGACTCCCAGTAATATATGAATAAATATATGCTTTTTCAACCCCTTTAATAATATAGAAAAAAATTACAATGTCAACTGTAGTTCTTCCAATTTCTTGATAAATATTACTGATAACAATAAACTTACTCAAACTGGCATTTGAATTTCATATTTTGAGGTGAAAACTATAAATATTCAAGAATTGATTAATTTTCAAAGAACTAAGTTGAATATAATCTCTCAAACACATACAATTTTGAAGCATGAATTTTACCAATTTTGAGAACACTTTGTTTCATTTTTCCTGTTGAAAAAGGACAAGGACTATGTTATAAAACCTTTGTTGATCCCAATGATACAACATTAATCTGAGAAAACAGATGTCAAACTTACAATAACTAAAACTGCCTCAAATGAAGAACAGTGAAACAAAAACAGTCAACCTTTTCTTGAGAACACAACAAGACCTTTTCTTATCAATATAATTGATTACCTACGAGCATTGATTACATCAGTCACATAAAATTATCAATTAACTAATCAAAATTACAGATTCTGATAATTACTATTTTCAATTATTCCAACCATCCAAGTAACTTAAATATTGCCGTTATGATTTCTCATTATTATTTTTTCAATTAATTCAAAGTTTGTTTAGCTTTTGGCTGGCATGGATCAGTGGGGACGGTTGCCTCATGATTCAAAGATGGCAGGTTCGGTTTCTGTTGCCACCAACAATGGAGACATTATATTTGTTTCTGAGTTATGGCAAAGCTACTTAGGGTATCTGCCACCATCTTTAATTTCAAACTGCTGACCAAAGAGAAGGTAACTAGTCACCAGCACCCACTGCCAATCCTTGGGGTACTCATTTACTAATGAATAGTGAAATTGACCATTGCATTATAACATCCTAACTAATAGGCTATGCTGGCCCAGGAGCATAATGCTTAGATGGTCAAACCTACTCATTAGTAAAGAATAGCCCAAGAGTTGGAAGTGGGTGCTATCAGCCAGTTGCTTTTCCTATGGTCAGCAGTTCAAAATAAGTGGTAGTGGCAGATAGCCTTAGAAGCTCTGTCATAACTCAAACTACTTCAGCTACATTTCAACCAAACTTACACATGGCATTATAGCTAGTACTACTTTCACTAGTGTGACTGCTTGGGACAGTATGTATGTTTTATACTTGTATATCTTAGTAGCTGTTGGTTACACGACCAGCCACAGTGATACGTGTGTGTGTGTAGCTTGTTTGGACTAAACAATAATTTGGCTGTAACTTAATATATTCCTTACTTATTACATGCTACAAACACAACCAGTGTTTCTTGATGTAAGATTACTTTAATAAGAAAAAAGTTACAACAAGTTTACATTCATTATTCACTCTCAAAAAATATTTTGACTGCTGAATAATTTGCTCATTTAACTGTGTTTGTCAGAAATTACTAGACATGGACTAATAACAGTCTAACTATGTAACACTGTTAAGTCATTAAGTGATTACATGAACAGAACTCCTGTTTAATTCTGACTAGCTCCAGCTAAGAGGAAACACTGAAAATGGAAAACAAAAGTCTGGCTGTGCCACTAAAAGGTCTAGTATAGTAAGCTGCAAGTTTTTGATTTATTGACTTCTTAGCACACACGTGTGTTTCTATAGTTTCTTCTCGCCTGTACTATAAATGTAAACTTTTTAATATTTCTAAACTTCTGCCCTTATCTACAACTTATCCATTAAAAGATTTTGAGGTTTTTATAAATTTACAAGTTATTTTATGTTTTTCATGCTGATGATGAAATTAGATAAAAATTCTGAAACATTTTTGTTTATTACTGTAATTTTTATATTTCTTATAAAACTGATTTCCATCTTATAAATCATTTCAATCTCTGTAAAGGGGTCATTTAGTATTAACACAGGTGTTCTTTATAAGTAGTAAATACTATTCTGTAGAATCAGAGTGGACTTGTTTTCACTGAATTATATATTATCTATCACAAGCTACGTAAAAATCTCTACTACTTTACTAGTTTTACCACATGAAATCTATGAATAATTATTTTAAACAAAAATATTTGTTTATTTAAGTTCAGCAGATTAGTCTTGTGAGAAATTGTAAGAAGAAACCCATGGAATGGTATTAATCACATTTTCAATTTGTTACAAGTTTGGTACTATGTTCTGTACATGATATATTTTCATATACAACTGTTTTGAATAACAGAAAAGTAACTTTATCCTAAATTATTATATCTGATAATGTCTATCATACAATATTAAACATAAAGTAGTTTTAAAATGTATTTAAGAAAAAACCTCAAAATAGGATGATTTGTCTGACGTGAGAATAATTTAATAAGTTGAATGTAATCTATTAATGTGCCTGACAATTAAACAATTAGCAAACTTAGTTAATTGCCCCGCTCTAATGGTAAGTTCTCAAAGTTGAAGATCTAGTGGAATCTGCATTGATTACCCCACTAAACAAATGGATTGAAATATAAACATACACATGAAGGAAAGAGCAGTAGGATATCCTACTAAATAGTAGTCAAACTGGGAGAAATCAAGTAGTAGCTAGAGCACATCAATCAAGAAAGTACAATTATTTGGAGAAAACAGAAGAGAAATAATGACGTTAAGCTTTAACCCTAGAATGCCAGTGTGGGGTCACTATGACACCATACCACCTGGTGTTAATGTTTGAAAATTTAATACTGGCATTTCAGGGTTAATGGATAAAGTTAGATTTTTTTATATCATTTTCTCTTTATGAATTGCCACAAATTTGGCAGCTTATGCTTTCAAAAAAGCTTTTTTTTATTACAACATCAAAGGCAAAGGAAAAAAGTTATTGAAGACCAATGATGAAATGTGTCAATGTGTCGTTAGATGGAAAGATGCCTTAAGATGTACAATTTTTAGTGTCACAAGCTGCTGGTAATGTGATGTATATTACTTATACAATACAAAATACTTGTAAAAAATCACTCACTTATTTAGAAATTGTTTAATTCATGAAGTAAATTAAGCTGCTAGAAATATTTAAAATGCAATTTTTTTAAATCAGTGGTTTATCTAAAACAAAATATTAATTACTAATACTACTGATTAAGTGATATTTTTGTAGGAGCAAAATTATAAAAAGCTTGCAAATGCACACACATAAATGAATATCAAAATACAACAGATATAAGCATCTTTCTAGCTAATGCATGTCACTAATTAGTTGAGCAAAATATCTACAAAACAACAAACTTCTACATTCAAATTTAAAAATGTATAGAAATAAATTTGTGAAACACTACTACAATAAAACTGTGTAGTGATGTATTGTAAACATGCATAACTCTTCAAGCAAACAAAATTAGATAGTTTGGTTTTGTTTTCACTTCCTGATCACATTAGCCCACTAACAACCAGTTATTATATCAAAGTGAATAACAAAAACATTGTTGTTTGAACGAAATTATTGAAACAAGTTTTCTTAAAAAATATTTCATTATCGATGACAAGTAGTTTTAGCTTCTAACCTAAGTATAATTTACCAATCAGTTACTTGTTCTAGATAAATGTTTTGTTACCCATGATGCTATAAGCAAATATATCATTTTCAACTGAGACTACACATTAAGTGGTGTGTGCTTCTGTTTCCAGTATTTGTAGAACAGCTAAAATATTCAATGTTGAAGTAAGTTTTAAACATTCTACCACAAAGCATCTTTTATGATCCACCAAAACCAACTACAAATATGTATACTGATTTTTTATTCCACAATTCTTTTAATTGAGAACTAAATAAAGCAACACACTACTAGGTCAAAAGTGTTTGATAATCATACCGAGCAAGTGAGCTAACTAAACATCAATTAAAACTGCTTGTGTAAAAACTATAAAACTAGACAAATATCTCTATGTGCTGATAGCTGTTTATAACTTATCAGTGTAACACCAAAATTCACTTTTAAACCTTAGTTAGATATACATATCTTTGGTTAAAGCATTTGTGAATATTCTGTAATATTTAAGTTCCATTTTGTTACTATTCCAAAAAAGGGGTGTGGGCAAAAGTCTGAGGTAGTTTTTAAAATGTGTTCAGACAAATAAAATGCCTTTTCTTGTACTTACTCAACCCAGGGAGCAGCTGTCAACCTAAACTGGCTGAAAATGCTCGCATCACAACAGAGTCCATAAGTTTGTCTGAACACATTTTAAAAGCTACTTCCCATTACCTCCAACTTCTACCAATTGTTAAAAAAAAAGCATTATTTTGCAATACAAATGAAAACAGAACACTGATAGGTAACCTTGACAGACAAGTCACCTGACTTTTTTTCTTTGGTATGTTCAATCCTAAATTATAAGTTTAACCTAAAATATCTCCAAAGGAATAATTTTATGGTTTGGAAAAAATAAATAGGATAACAGATTAAATTATCATTTACTTTAGACAAAATGTACTGCACTTTATTTAACCTTTAGCATTTCCTCTTGGGGCTCTTCTTGGAGTTGGTTTAGTTTCTGCTTGGTTCTGAGGTTTCAATCCCTTCATGTCTTCTGGTCCAGGATTCGATAAAAATTTACCTAAACTGGTTTTACTGATCGGTTTACCGTTTACTTGTCCCGCGAAAGGTGAAGGTTTATAGCTAAGACCATACACCTGCTGACTACTAGTAGCACTTCCCGAAGAAGCTCCAACACTCAACGAACGTCCATCATTTGGTTTAGAATTAGAGACAAAACCAACATTTACTGAAACTAAACTGTCCCTTCCTTGAGATATAATCTGTTCACTTTCCTTGTCGCCAGTAGGTTTCACACTATCTGTCATTCCGCTTTCTTTACATTAAAATAAAATACATCCTTTTCCTTTACAGTTACAGAACTTATAATAAATCTAGTTTCCCTCTGGCTGATTATGAAATTTTAAATTATAGTTATACGATGAAAAGTACCTATAAGACGCCATTTTTATACCATACATGGAAGAAAATTATTATTATTATTTTGCTTAAATCGAAGAAAGTTGAAATCGCAGAATTTTCCCCATTTAATTGGTACAAAAAAGCCATTTCTCTTTTTTTTTATTTGTTTGAAGTTAAGCACAAAGATACACAATGGGCTATTTGTGCTCTGCCCACCACGGGTATCGAAATCCGGTTTCTAGCGTTGTAAGTCCGCAAACATACAGCTGTGCCACTGGGGGCTTTTTGAATGAAGTTTATTATGAATCATTAAGTGTAACCATAAGTGAAACACTTTTTTTTAAAAAAAAATTGACTTTAATATTGTTACGTATCTGCTTCTTTGATAATTTCCGGTAGAAATTCTTTCCGAGGATCTTCAGCGATACAACTCCTTTCTTGCTTAAACCAGTTTATTCTTCCTCGATACAAACTTTTAGTACACAGTAATTCCCCAGTCAATACGTTTCTCGTCACTTTAAACTTAACAACTTTTATAATACACAATATAAATCACAGTGATTCACACACATTGTAATAAAAAGACATAATAAAAGTAAATTAAAGAATATCAAACCTATACACCAAGAGCCTGTTAGAAAAAATTAAACATAAAATTATACTAAATAAATCCATTCACGAAATACAGAAAACACACAGAAAAAAACGCTTTCAAAAATAAATCAGTTAATGCAATATAAGCACTTTAACATTAACTCGAACAACACAAAATAAACAACTTTTCGAAACAAATTTATAATATAAACCAAACACCCTTTAACAATGAAGTAGATTAATCAAACTCGTCTTACCTCAGTCAAATCAGCAGGCCCTGCAAAGCAGCAGTTGAACAATGACTGTCAGCAGTAATGACATGGTGATGTCTCGAGCCAAGGCCCAGGCTTTTCACATATCAGCTCCACATATAATTGGCCTATATATCCCTGCCTATTCACTGGAAACCGGGTCATTTGTGCTGAAACAACTGGAGGTGTCAGCTGGTGGGACTCATACTCAATAAGAGGTACAACTTACGTAGAGCAACCAATGCTGAGAGTCACCTTAACAACTACAGTTATCCACTTCCTCCTCGCTTTTGAATTGTCTTAGATGACCACCTCAAATCTCACTGTTACAGAGACTATTTTAGTGAGGATACATATATCTCATTACCACAAATTGTGCTACATGATCTTGCTTCTTAGTACCTCAATCAACTTGTCTGTGAGGGTGTCTTTGTGATCTGACTTTTTCTACCAGATAAAACCATAAATATATTGTTACATCTCTGTTCGTTTGTTAATTTCCCGTAGAAATTATTCCTGAGAAACTTCAGCGACACAAGACCTTTCTTAAATAAAACTAGTTTATTCTTTCTGAATACAACTTTGCAATACACTTAATTTCCACAGTCAGTTAAACACACGCTATAATTCTCAACGAACGATTCACGCACTTTACTTACTACCACGCTTGACTCAATTGTCCGTCTATATCTTCAATCTCTCTGTCCGCTATTCAATCCCGATTAACTGTCTGGCACATTTATATACAAGAATAGAGGGCGCCTAGCAAATACTGGATTATGCGTGACGTTCCCCGATCTTTCTAGAATCTCATGACGTGTTACTAGAGTCACGTGACTTCCGCTGTCGTAACAATATCTTAGCTGTGACTGTGTCTCAGTCCCGGACTATGCCTTTGTCAGATGCTCAACTGTATCAAGAACTGGACCATTCAAGCTCAAGACCAAGCATTCAATAACCTGTTCCTGAGACCATCGGTTCTAGGTAATGATTTGCCTGAAATGCTTTAAGAACTGGTCCAGATCCTCCTTATACACTGAGAATATATCTGTTTTGCCTTCACTGCCCTGTGTGACAGAAGTGACATCGAATAGGCCAGTGTCAGAAGCTTTGCACTCTGTTGAGTGTAAAACTCCTGACCCTTGAGTTGCAGAATGACTGGCTACAGACATAGCTCGATCTTCCGTGAATCCTGAGCCATATGTCACTGCAAGTTCTGAATTTGCCTGGATAACCCCTTCCTTTGTCCATGAATGCGAGCTGTCTCGCCTGCTGACATTACAACTCCTACTGGTGACTGTAATCCGCCAACAGCACCTCACTCATAACTCTCTGTTCAGTTTGGTGCCTACTTTGCTAATTGAGCTCTCCTCTCTCCACCAAGCACCTACTGGCAATATATCTCCTGGTGTTGACTATCGTCCATCAATGTTACCTCATGACTGTCAATTCAGAAGAGTTGATCGCTTTGTAGAGAGGTTTCTTACTGTTCCACCGATCACTGCATCCTTTGGTAAGTGCCTGCACAATTCTAACCTTCCAGAAAAAATAGCTTCTGTTTGTGGCTATCTTCCACCAACAATATATTGTATTTAGTTCTTGGTTTGCCATGGCACTTCGCTTGGTGGTGAAACTCCCCACTGTTCTACAAACCACCACTTTCTTTGTCAAGTGTATGCTGTATGCTATCTCACCTACTGGCAAAACAACTCATGCAGGTTAAGTTCATTCACCAATGATGCCTTGCTTATATTCCAGTGTCTCTCAACTGTGATATCACACAGAAATGAAGCTTTGACAAGCTTGTAGGCAAATGCATTAGGATTCTTATAAGGTCTACCTCATCTGATCTTGAACAACCTAGGCCATGCATCACCCTATCGAACATCAATTGTCCTGGATTTCACTCATGCTACAGTTCAACTTCAAGGGGGGGGGGGACTTCATTAGTTTTATGGTTGTTCCAGATGACATTCATTCCCCATTCTGGATTCATGGCTACAGGGTGGTGGCCATCAAGGACCTCTGTAACATCAACAAGGTGATCCAGAATGTCTTCCATAGACCTTGTCACTTTTTCTTTAGGTTGCACTTCCTTGGCTCCCAATTCTTCCTCCAGCTTGTACATCCTCTGACTTGTGGAAAATTTCATTTCTACCATTTGGATGTCACAGTATACTCATTATAGTATGGGAGAATCTGGCTACATATCCATTCATAAAGAACAAACATCCACAATAACAGTATCTATAGTTATGGCACCAAACGTTTTCCTCCTAAATTACTCTGTGGTATTTTCCAGTGTACAGTGTAAACAGGTTGGGTCTGCTAAACAAGACACCTGACAAATATTGGGTTGCACAATATTGGTTTATGTTTCTATTAATTCTAACTGAGTTCATCTCAAAGAAAAAGTTCACACAAAACAACAATATTCATTAATAACAAACACAATATACAAATAAAATAAGGGCAAGTATTCATAAGGTGGTTTGTGAAACTGGTTAAAGATAACAAATTTGAAAACAGAGCCTTTATTGGTTTTCTCTCTCTAAAATAAATATTGTCAAGAATTTCTGTTGAACAAAGCTATATCCAGAGACTTTGTACAACTTGTTGATTGCAAAACTGTCAAATGTTTGTAACAGTTATGATTCCACTCATATCATTGAGGTGTGGTGTATAGAAGGGAAAGCTTGTCGAAACGTTGAACAACTGTAATAAGGTTTCTTTTACAACCCATTCAATCCATCACCACATATGCCAGTTAATTGTCACACATGTGTACCAGTATATTTTTTGTTGTATGGTACGGCATT